TAGTCAGGGTGTTTTTAGATCATTTTTTATACATATCAAAATTAAAAAATTGATAAAGAATTACCTTTACATTAACTTCCTTAAGGATTCAAACCTTGATTAACAAGGTGGGGAGTAAATCCCCTTACTAAATTACAGCTTCTCAAATAATATCATATCATGTAACCTCAAGGATAGAATTTACTTATAAGTAAATATTGTCTTGTAAGATAAGTATAAAATTTAAATCTTGAGTTAGCATAAAAAGATTAATTTTTTTAAATGCACCATACTAATAGGGAGTACACATTTAAAATCATTTTAAAAAATTAATTTTTAAGTGTATACAATTAATTTGACCACACCCTTATAATAATAATAAAAAAAAAAAAGTCGTGCCCATGTGTCTCTTGCGCCAAGTCCATCATCAACTTGAACCAAGTATAACTACTTCTCTCTCTTGTATAAATAATAGGTGGGGTTGCACAAAACTAAGCTTAAGATGGGGATAGGACCGTTGAATGTGTTCGCTTTCTGCCCTTTTAGAGATATTTTTTATAGTTTTATGCAACTCGAATTACAAAAAGAGATTCATGCAATTATATTCGGCAAATAATTGGAAATTTTAATTTAAAACTTAAAATTTTAAGGGGTTTTTTTTTTGAAGGGGACTTATTCCAAGTTTTGATGGTGTAATTCAAAACAAGAGAGTTTATTTCCTTGGTAGGGTTCTTTTCTTTTCTTTTCTTTTTTCTTATGGACATTGATAGGCTGTTTTTATTATCTTAAAACCTTTGTTTTGAATTGAGTGGTTAAGGGAGTGTCAGCAAATTTAGGACGCAAAACTCCAAAAATTAAAAGGGAAAAAGTTGAGCCTGATATATATACATATACTTAGTTTGAGTTTGAATATTGGAAATTACTTTTCGTATCCAAACCAAGATATATATTGGATTAAACTTTTTTAATACTAGTTGATTAGACCTAGTTTAAACTTGATAGCAGCCTAATTAAAACTCAATCATTACAACTTTAACCCTTTTTTTTTAAGGTGGGGGGGGGGGAAGGGGTGTGAATGATTTGTAGGATGAAAATTTATGACCAAAATTTGAGAATAAATGTTGATATGGTGTGGGTTTATATAGGGCCACACGATTAAGGGGTGAAAGAAAATTATCTCACTTTATTTTTTTAATCAATAATTTTATCTATTTTTCAATCTCAATTATTTTGTCATGTATATATATCTTTTGTGTGTGTGTTTTTTCCTTTTTAAGTTGTCAAGATATCTCGAACCAACTTACATGCACCTTCAATCTAATTCCCCCATACAACAATATAAATTTTATTACTATTATTTTGTTACATACTATTTTTCAGTGCTAACTAATTACAATAAAAGAGCCAATTTATGATTGACATCTTACTAAATTTAAAGAAAAATAATTAATATACATTTAACTTAACAAATTTTTTATACTTATCCAATTCAACCATTAAAAATATAATTTAAATACAATTAATTTAATCAATTCTTGTATTTTATGTGCATGACTGTATCTTTAAATTTTTTAACTTTAATTTCGAATTAAAAAATAATAATTTTTTAGCGAGTGTATTGTATACAATGTTAAACTGAAATATATGCCACCAATCAATATCCAAATTTATAGCTATTAAGTAATAATTTATGTACCAACGACTTGTTGGTCCGAGTGAAA